TTTCATTTTTTTTGTAAGTTTTTTTTTTTTTTTTTTTTGATGCTATTTTAAAATGATTTATTTTAACTTTACATTTTATGATTTAATTAATTATTAGCTTTTCATTAAACCCATTTTCATTTAATTTGAACCTCCTTCAGTTAATTTCCGAACCCCAGTTTGGGAAACCTTGTAATGTTTAATGCACTTCTTGTTAATCACAATGAATGAAATATATTTTCTTACTATTTGTATTTGTATATCAATATGGTACAATATTATCCTATTTAAATCAATGTGATAAAGGAGTAAAGTCAAAAGTAATCTATAAGTAATCAAAAAGTAGTCTGATTAAATTACCTAAAATGTGTAATGGGAGGTGATTACGTTACTAACTACAATGTTTTTGTCATGTAATTTGGAATCAGTAACGGACTACAACTTGTAAGTAATCTACCCAACTTGAACTAATGGTCCATGGTATTGATATCTAAGATTGCACATATTCTAGTCACTCTTTCCAAGTGATAATTGAAAAAAAAGCAGCAGTAGGCTATTTTAACATTCACTATGCAATAATATCCTACAGTTTAATAATATAGGCTTCTATAGAGACTAAATATGGCATGATCTTTACATTGAAAGAAATTACAACAGAGCTGCTTGTTTACATAAGTCAAAAGTGACTGTCACCTTTTTACATATATTACAGTATATGTAATTACATATTCATATCCCAATACCTTACAGAGTTGGATTATTATGTAATTATTCTTAATTAAATAATAATTATGGAAAGCCCTTTTTTTTTGGTCTCTATGAACTGACGTCGTATGATCAGAAGTGTTAAGATTCTTGAAGATTTCTATTTTTGCAGCATACAGGTTTGGAATAAAATGAGGGTGAGTGTGAAGATTGTCAACATGTTTTCGTAATTTCTTTATTCAAATGAGGCACGGAAATGGCCAAAAAACAAGAACTTTAGTAAGGCAGAGAGATATAAAGACTGTCTGTTTCTGTGGTATCAATGATTTAATTCATACAACACTGAAATCTTTGTTCTTTGGTGTTTGCTGTTTTTTGGAGGTAATGTTTGACCATAAAAATATTCACTGAAGAATATCCACCTTTCTTTCTTTGTTTGCTCTGAAATGATAGAACATGCATTACAGCAAGACCTCAAATTTACACAAATAAAGAACAGATGTTTAACAACCTCCTTTGGCAAGATAAGATGGCTCCTGACAGTTTTGATCAAAACAACAGATATATTTCACAAGAATATCATACATAACTCTTTTTGGTCACAGCCACTGTAATAATTAGCTTACCATGACGTCAAAGTCGCTGCTCATAACAGACCCAATATAGTGGAATATTCTAGTGTTCTCATTTTGATCAACAGCTCCTTATTACACCTCGGGTTTGCTGTTTCTAACTGCAACATTCAGCTTTGTACACGCACCTTAACAAAGACATACAAAAATCAGTAATTATGACACAGACCATGTCAAACAATTACTTCTGCAGTCAGATAGGGCTTATGAAAATGCATATATGTACTTAATGATGGAAAGGCCTACAGTCGAGAGATATAAAGCACTTTTAACACCATGTCTGCTATAATAATATAATTCTTGTGCCTTTAAAGTTCAAATATTTGTACAAATAAGGTATACTAGAAGATAAAGGATTAAAAATATGT